ACGCTCATTGCGAGACTGTGAATGATAAGTGAGCACTTACACTCTGAGTGTAAACGTCCTAGAAATGAAAGAGCTGGCACAGGGCGCGGTTCCAGGCAGCAGCCACGGAGGGCAGGGATGGCCGCTGCCCACCCCGCCCCTGGCCGGCGGGAGGCCTGAGCACCCCGTCCGCGGGCGAGGTCTGCTCGGGTGGCCTCGGCCTTCACCGTGCCGCCTTGGGGTCTCTCGCAGACATCGACGAGTGCGTGACCGGCACCCACAACTGCTCCACAAACGAGACCTGCTTCAACGTCCAGGGCGGCTTCCGCTGCCTGGCCTTCGAGTGCCCGGAGAACTACCGCCGCTCCGCAGACACGTAAGTCCCTCGGCCCGCGCCCGTCTGTCTGCGTCGGCCCCCCGGGGGCCCACGGAGGTCTCAGAACCTCGAGGCCCCTAAACGCCAGCAAGAGTGGTCTCAGAAACCGAGGAGGTGACTTGAAGCCGAAGGTCAGCGGGTCTGCTCTCAGACCAGCCTGTGCTTGGGGCCCGGCGGGAACGCCAGGCTTCTGGTTCCCCAGTGTGGACACGTGTCAGATGTGCTCTGACTCGGGTGACAGTAGCGATGACTCCAGGGGCCGACGTGACCCGTTGGGGCGTCGTTATTCGGTGAACCCACCTAAAAGCCAGGTTCTGTCCGGCCTAGTGACTGTAGAAAAACAGGGAAGATTCCATGTCCTCAGTTTGAAGCTGTGTGTCCACACGTCACCGTGAGCTCCCCCACTCCCAGGCCACCAGGATGTCTGCTGGGGTGTCGAGGACCCGCCTTCCCCAAGGATCAGTGAGGACCCTTGGCTCTCACCACAACGTCCCACCAAGCTTCATTTGGCACCGCTGTCAGTCACTTGAGGAAAAGCCCCATGGTGGGGGCTGGTCAGAGCCATGGACACCTGACCCCTCCCTCTGAATAACCCCTGGAAATTCTGAAAGCTAGCACGCAGCCAGGCTGACCATGTGACTCGGCCTTGACCTCGAGTCTGCTCCTCCCGTCAGGGGGTCGGCACCTCCTTGGACAGTGCACCGGGCCCCATACTCTTGCTCATCCTGGGGGCTCTGGCTCCTGGTTCTGGCCTGGCCGCCAGCTTGTCGAAACCCGGAGCGGGGATGCTCAGACGTCCCTGGTCTCCCAGCAGCCCTTCGTGTTCCTCCCAGCATCGGGGGCGCCCACCCGCCAGCCTTGCCACCTCCCCCGGGCCTGCTCTGTTCCCCAGGATGCGTCTCGTCTGCTCAGAAACCCAGCAGCTCGCTTCCTTCACGGGCCCCACTTAAGGAACAGACACTCCAGAACTGGGCTTGTGAGTCTGCAGCGCTCAAAAGAGCTTGTGGTTACACACAGTGGCCCAGTGGGCACTAATTGCATTCCTGTGAGCCATTAAGAGAGTTCCGTGTCCTCAATTTGAGGCTGTGCTGGCATTTGTCGTTGTAAGCCCCCTCGCTCCCAGAGCTTTGTCCGTGTCTGGGTTTGAGGATTCTGGAAGACTGGCTGCTTGCTGTCGACCTCTAACTCACACACAGGCACGAAAGCAGAAGGGGAGGAGGCCGCCTCGCGCTGGCCTTCACGCCTGCTAAGCCCCAGGGTGCGGGCGGCTGGAATCCGCAGATCACCTTCCCCGACCCCCTCGTGCTGGTGCAAGCTCGGGAAGCCTGTGCCGCCCTCAGTGCGGGAGACACTCCCTCGGGGACCGGTCACTGAGGGCCCGCTGTGTGCAGGCACTGGCCTGCTAGGAACACCTGCAAACAGCGGCAGTGGCCACAGGGTGTAGGGGTGCTGAGACTGAGGAGGCCCCCATGTGGCTGGGATGGGGCGGGAGGGGGTGCCTGGTTAGGCAGAGAGGGAGGGAGTGGTAGGCTGGTTAGGGCAGGGCGTGCACACACGTTAAATGGGAAGGAAGGAGTTCCCAGCCATGAAGTGGGGTGTTTAGCGGGGAACAGCGTAGCACTCGCTAAGGGGCTGATGCTCCAAAGCTGGTCTGTTCCCATGGACTTATCAGTCTGTCCTTCGGGGCTGATGAAGAGGGGGTTCATCGTTCTTCGTAAATAAAGGCAGGAAGTGGGTGCCCACCGTGGTAAAGGCCAAAAGGGGAGCACGAGGCTCCAGGTGGCCCCTCCAGGGAGGATGGCTGCTGCGTTAAGGCCCTTTCCTGCTCGCTAGTGCCACCCAGTGGCCTGAGCACAGGCTGGATGGAAAATGGAGCTGGGAGGGATGTGAACCCTGCGCTGAGGGGTCCTCACCTGAGGTGGGCCAGGCGAGTCCCCCACCTCCCCATGACGGTTCTCGCCTCCTGGAGAAGCTGAGGTGTTCTGGAAAGATCCTGGCTATGGAGTCAGACCCACTTGGGTTTGCCTCCCAGCTCAGTCCATTCCAGGTCCCTTGACCTTGACCGTGAGCAGATCCCATGAGCGTCTCAGAGCCTCCATGTCCTCAGCTGTACAGGGGGTGAGCATGTCGTCCCGCGGGTTCCTGTAGAGTGACCTGTGATTGTGGGGCAGAGCCTGCTCCATAAAGCTCGCTCCGGATTCAGCTCTGGTGGGGCGCAGATGGGCACCCCAAGGCATATTTTACTGCCACTACTTTGGCTCTCTCGTTCCTCTGTGCCATGACCTCGGGCCAGCCTCTTGGTCGCCTGGGGCCGCTTTCTGCATCTGTAGCACCTGCTTGGCAAGGCCTTACTAGTGACGGTTAGCAGTGCTAGGTTCCGGGCACCCAGCCCGGTGCCAGCACTGGTACTCAGGAAACGGTGGTGAGGTGGGTGCTGATAAGCCATCCTGGGCCCTTCCCCAGAACACAGCAAATCAGACCGCGGAGCTTCTTCAGGGCGACTCTGCGGCTCCCGCTCCGTTGCCTGCTGGCTGTGACCATGTGAATGGCTGAGTCCCTCGGCCTCACATGAGAAAGTGAGACAGGGCTCCTGAAGGGCTGCGTGGTCACGGGGCCACCACTGCTGCACGCAGGAGCCAGTGTGGTCACAGTTTTCCCCTCTTTTGGTCCCCGGTGAGGAGTCACAGGA